AGGGAAACAGGTTTTTGTCCATGATATCTCAATGGGAAAGTAGATGACACAGGAAGTGCTTCCAGGCTGGATTGTCTGAGCCTGTTTATTGTGGGATGTCCCCTCCAGCCACCCTTTTTATCACCACCCTTTTAGTTTAGCATTTATTTGGCATGACACATTTCAGTGGACTCACCCAATTTGTATATACATTTCTTGCTGATATTTGTACCATACCCAATACTGTTCCTTAAGTTAGAAGAGTTGTGTAAGCCAAGAGAGGGCATCTTTGGATGTATTTTTTCTGAAGTGATGGTATTAAACAGGGTGGTCATACTCACTCTGGGCCTGGCACCAAGTCCAGACTGCGGCACTTCCTCCCTGGGCCAGATCCATGGGGCCAGTGGCAGGTATGAGAGGTCCAGTAGCAGCAGGTCTGTGGGCAGCAGTGTGGATCTAGGACTGGGTAGCAGAGGCAGCAAAGATTCAGGGCTGCAGCAGGGATCAAGCCCTCATTTGCCTCCCTGCTACCAATGGCCGTGTCCATTGGGATTCAGTGACACTGAATTCAGCAGCAGGCCACACTAGCCTCACCTCCACAACTTCTGGTAACCCTCCAGACTGCTGGTGGGCTAGATTGAATGGTTCTGTGGGCTGGCTGTTAAATACCCCTGATAAAATATAAGAATAGTCTTATCTGGCTCTGCTGTCACAAGGCTTTTTCAACAGTCACCCCCACATTTCCCTCTCTTCTCCAGATAGGCTGAAGCCAGTGTCAGCAGCCTGCCGTCCATGGGTCAGATCCAGCCCCTGGAGCCATTTTGTCTCACTTGCGGAGCTGGGGAAGCTTCTGTGACATTTTAGCAGTGGCAGGTTTTGCCCGGGCAGCAAGGAGAAAAACTGCGGCAACAGCACAGTGGAGGGAAGTAGTGGATAGGTGAGCTGGGTTGAAAGTGGCCTGAACTCAGATCTAAGCTCTGTGAAAGCAGCCCCCATGCCAAAATGTTGCTCTGTTCTGGGATAGAGTCTCCTTTGAGACACAAGAAAGATAGCCTAACTGAGCAAGCCCTGTGCTGTTGAGATATGCCTACATATGAGTCACCAGAAACTGCACCAGCTACATTATGCAGGTATGCAGCAGGCATGGCATCCACCAGCATGGAAATGGAGAAGCAAGAAACAAGTCCCCTAAATACTTGAAATATTTCAAGCTGCACAAGGCCTATGGATAATAAATGGGTCTAAGCAGAGAGTGTCAACAGCTTGAAGGACTGTTAGAAAAAAGCAGAGCTGGAAGCCTATTATCAGTGTCAGTATGTTTACCAGGAAGGGGTATAAGCTATAGGGAAAACTCTT